ATGCGTTTTTATTCAGCAATCTCACCAGGCATTTTGACTTGTTATAGTTGGATTGCCATAATACATTGCTTGCTTGAATGATCAGTTTAATCGCGTTCTTAATTGCTTATCGTATTATTTATTATTTACTCTTTTACTTTTTTAACTTCATTGCGTGATTGATTGGCAGCAATATTTTGTGGAGACAAGCCTTTGCTTTCATTCGTACCAGCTACAATGGCCACAACGTTTATGGTCATAGTCATGTTGAAAAATTCTTATGTTAACTTGATGAGTACTGAAAAGCCAGCATGGGGAGTGCTAATAAATTTTGTATTTTATTGTATTGTATTGTATTGTATTGTATTGTATTGTATTGTATTGTATTGTATTGTATTGTATTGTATTGTATTGTATTGTATTGTAAGAGTAAACATTCACATATGTGACATATTCCACCTCTTTAAACCTGTGCTGGCCATTTGAGCAAACAGGCTTTTACATAAATACATGTATGTCAAACACGATACTTGTTGACTGTGTTTGACCACATTTCCTAACGCCAAAAAGAGAGTTGAAAATATGACACGTAGCAGGGTATTTTTGACGAACTTTAAGGTGTATGGATACATTGTAAGTGGTAAAACACTTCTTCGAGTGGTCGATATGTGGTCTTCTCAATCAAAACTAAGGAGCAAACGGAGCAATAAAGTCATAAAAGTCCATATTGATTAGAGCAGATATCTAAACATTGTCACTGCTATAGTTTCTTTTTGCTTTGAATCATATTTATTTGTTTTATGCTTGCCTTGGGACTGGCCTTTTTCTCTTGTTAAGCTCATTGATTGTCTTTCGTCCAAAGAATTTACTGCGAAGGCTGATTGTGTCAACAATAAAGAAAGCATCAACAACAACAAAAACAAACTTAAGCAATTGTTGCGTTCATATGGAGACCACTCTCTAGCAGTAAATCGTTGTAACAAAGATCGCTGAAATCCAGTAGTAGCAGAGATCATATAGCAACGAACCTTTATCCAATATTCCCTTGTGGTTTGTCCACAGCATGGTCTGCTTTCCTCAGGGGGTGGTACAGCCGACAGATGCATCAGATTCTGGAATACACTAACAGGACAACCACTACAGTGTGTGGACACTGGCTCGCAGGTACATGTCCTTGGATGAAATCCTATTTTCTCCTAACCTTTTCAGATCAGATCAAATTTATTTATGAAATCCAGCTCAGTTAACTGTAGTACACAGATTGCACAATACAGATAGTAAATCAAACGAATCGAACCCAGCATGTTATAAGAATGATGGATTTGATCGCCTCAGTTATTACATGTCGAAGTACGTTTTTCATATGAAGACATCACAGTATGTTCTTCCATATTTGCACTTGTAAACTGTTCATGTAGGACCAATTTCCCACAATACGAAAATAAATTAGAAATAGTTATAAGAATTATTATGCTAATCAGATCAGATCATAGACAGCATGTGTTAAAAGATTACATACCGTTAAGTAATTCAAGTTCGATGTGTGTACCGTAAGATATCTGATGACTGATGGCCCAAGCCAATGGATAGATGGGAAAAAATACGCACAAAATCACACGAGCGAGCAGACACTGGGCATGAGTGGTAAACATGTTATAGGCAAAAGAAAAAAACTGTTGATGTGACACTCTAAGTTATATCTTGTACTCAAATTGGTTGAAATCGTCAGTCAAGGTTTGCAATAGCAGACTTGCACGATATCATCATTTGACTACAACTGCCGGAATTCAATTCGCTTTTTCTTTATTTAATTTTTGAAGCCACAGAAACGGAAAAAGTGAAAGATTCTAGTAGTTGTAGTCAAATGACGCCATCATGCAAATCACGTACTGCTGCCTTATACAGACTGTCCGCATGACTCTTCCCATGAAAATAAACATAGAACAGTGTCATTGTTCATGTAGCTAGTCCTGTTGCCCTTGTGGCACATATCCTCATGTGAACAGTCTAAGCAGCGTGTGTCCTTTTGTATTTACTGACCTTAAATGTACTTGTATTTTCTTTCTCATGCTAGGTTTGCAACTTAGCATGGTCTAAGCATTCTAATGAACTAGTGAGTGTTTTTGTTTCGTTGATTTAGAAACCATTTTCGGGGCTATGTATTGTAAGTATTTTAATTAACATCTAGAATGGGAAAGTGCAATATATGTGCTTGATTTAATTTACCAGTAATGTATTGTAAAGTCTAACTTGAGGTCACTTACGTATTAAAAAAACATTGCCCTTCTTCCTTCAGTTTTTTAAATCCATGCTCAAATTGTGCTTGAGTGTTTAATTGATTAAGGATCTTAATTTGAATTTGAATTTTGATTTTACTGTACTCTTTTAAGGGAGTTTTCACATAGGGTTAACCTCGTAACTTTCTTTTCTCGATGCATCTTTTTCCCCTTAATTTTTTTAGTTTTTACTTGTATTTTTAGTTTGCATTTTCTATAAATGAAGTACACGTATGTATGTATTTGAATTTCCTTGTGTTGCTTTTGGTGGTTTCCGAGTTGTGTTATCCAATCAGATCGCAACAGGACTAGTTTCCGAAGTTTCTCTCTTTGTGAAGTAACGAAAGTCGTGCTTATATCAACTGCACAACCAGAGACCTTCCGAAACTCACTTGAATTCTCAAACGTTTGCACTCTTTGTATGTGGCTATCTAAAACTGGGATAATCGCCCATAGTTCAACTTAACTACCGAACTCAGTGCATATCGTGTGTCATTATGTGTGAAAAAAAAAGCTTTGACATTGTAACGTTTGTTCTTGACTGCAGGTTAGTACGCACGGCTACTCACAGAACCAGATCTTAGTTTGGAAATATCCGTCGTTGACTCAAGTAGCCAAGTTAACAGGGCATTCTTACAGAGTTCTTTATCTGGTAAGTTGAGAGTTTCTTTGGCAGTCGTTACTAACTTGGTTCGTCCATAATGCCTCTTACACAGTGACAGCTCAGTCGTAACAGCTCTTTTTATCTCTCTCCGTTCGTACACTACATCATACAACATGACGAAAGTGACGAGATTTGTATTAACGTAACCACCAAATCCTTAGAAAATCGATGTCAATCAGTAAAGATAATCTGACCTGCTATTGCAATTCACAAGACGGAGTTAAAAATGAACCCACTTGAGACGCATAACCCTGGTCTAAAACTAATGAGATTTTCGTTATTTATCACAGGCTGTATCACCTGATGGTGAAGCTATAGTAACAGGAGCCGGGGATGAAACTCTTCGATTTTGGAATGTCTTCAACAAAGCACGCTCACACAAGGTATCTGCTGCTCTCAATTTTTGTGCTACTAATTGGTTTATTTTGTTTGTTACCAAGTCAAACTTTTGGCTTTTGACTGTGTTTCTAGCGCGTATTACACATACGCGCGCTAAAATATTGGTTTCCATATGTTGCAGCACACCTTTGTTTACTTTGCCCTTCGTGCGCACGCTTTCCTTGCGTGCTACGCGTAGTTTTTTGTATGGCGTGGCTCGCTCATTTCATAAACAAAAGAACGGTTAAGCCCGAAACGTTTAGTAAACCAGCTACTGTTTGACTCTTTCGAGAGCCTTTTTCCAGCCTCATATTTAGCTTATCGTCATAGTGTCACGCATCATCTGAGTTTTTTGAGAGGCGTTCTTGAACTTCCTTGCAGTCGTTAACCATTTTGTTTTCTCTCTCTGGTTTCCTTCATTAGGAATCCAAATCTGAGCTCAACCTCTTCTCAAGGATCAGATGATATTAGCTCAAGAACCAAAGTTTTAAAACCTTAAACCATTTAAGTATGTTGGAGGATGCACAAGAAACCTTCACACTTGTATTGAACAACAAGAGACCGTGCGGTACACATACAAAACTGTCTTCTTATGAACCAAAGAAGAGCCGAGATGGTAGTTACACAATACAACAAATTGAAGTGATCTGCAGTTACCCTCACATCCTCACATGTTTGCCAGGAATTGTATATCCATGGAGGAACCAAATGTCAATCACTATTTGAAATAAAGGATCACAAGGAAACTAGGGTTTAATTTCGATGCTCTGATGTTGAAAATTTGACATCGTTTCTTGAGGCAAACAGAAATAAAGCGTAATGTTACTAATACTTGCGTTCGATTATAACTCGCTAGATGATGCCCAAAATCGAGATTTATAATAGTAATTTAGGAAACTATTTTATGTTACCGTACTCAAGTTTCTACTTTACGAGGTTCACGTGAACGTTTGTACTTTGTGTATCTATCTATTTATCTGCCTACCTGCCTACCTGCCTACCTACCTACCTACCTACCTACCTACCTACCTACCTACCTACCTACCTAC